TGTGATTAGCTGTTTAGGATTAATTGTAAAATAATTATTAAAGTATATATTTACATACTGTATGTATAAAAATCAAATTGGTTTTAACATAACTTTGATCTAACTTTCAACACACCAACACCTGGTCACACTCGGGCGCTTATCTTAAAAAGGTGCCGTTCACTTTCTTTCCCTGTTAATAACTAATCTTGCATCAGTGTTGATGAAACGCTGTGACTCACAGACCACAGGTCCTTAAACGCCTGTCACTGTGTTTGACCTGCACGTGTCGTCATTAACTCACTGCCGGAGGTTTTTATTATGGTGATTGCACCATTATTTTTTTTTTGCACCATTTTTTTTTTATGGTTTTCTCATAACACTCTTTTCAGCCCAACACGTTCTACATGAAAATCTTTCTGAGCATAAGGCCCAATCAGTTTAATATTATTGCTGTTGTTTTTTTGTCATTAGACCAGGGGTGCCCAAAAGGTAGATCGGGATCCACCAGTAGATCTCAAAAGGGAGTACTGGTAGTTCCTGAGCAATTACATAACATTACAGAAACAAAAAATAAATAAATAAATAAATAAAAATTATATTTATTATTATATTTAATTCTATTCTAAGATGCTAATCACTAGGGGCTAAAGTCAGACGGTACTGTGCCATACAACTACAGCCATTTAATCAAAGTAGTAAATATATATATTTATAGTTTTCAATGTAGGTAGAATCATTTGAAAAGTAGCTCCCAGGGCCGAAAAAGTGTGGACACCCCCGCGTTAGACCATTTGCGATTGTGAAGTAAAGTTTGTTTTGGTTTTTTTTCTTATAAAAAATCTGAGTTTTACCTTGAGAGGAATAAATTCCTGTACACTTTTTCATATCCCTTCTCTTTTTTTTTTTTTTTCTTATAAAAATCTGGGTTTTATATCCCTTCTTATTTCCCCAATTGTTCTCACTTCATCTTAGTTTTTATACACCATACGCTCACCTTATTACAGTCACACACACAACCCTCAACCATAAAAAAGAAGCTTGGTCAATAAAGGAATGGGGCTGGGTGCGTTCTTTTGCTTCGTCTCAGCCTGCCCAGTCTCTGTTGTTGGGCTGGTTATCTGGCGTAACACCGTTTTGGGGTTTAGCATAATGCTAATTGCTGTTTGCTAGATCAGATTCACCATCCCTGGTCCTGGCTCAACAACTTACCCTGGCACTCCAGAGTCTGGCCCATGATTGGGCGGGCCGAATCTGGCCTCACATGCCAGTAAGTGCTGCTATCTTGGCCTGTCTTGTGGACTTTGGTCTCTCCTCTTTGCAGTCTGTGCTTCGTTTTGGTGGTGCCGTCTTGTTTGAAGTGTATTTATAGGTAATTAGAAAAGGCTGCAGTAGCTGTTTTTTTTTCTTCTTCTTCTTTTTCCTTTTTACGGATACTGTAAAATACTATAAGATACTGTACTTGCTCTCTCTCTCTCTTTCTCTCGCGCATGGGACTGTCCAGTGATATCATACTCGCTCACTCACAGACAGTGTCAGCGTTACGCATAGCATTTTTTGCTAGCAAACCAGGCATGGAGGCGATGCCGATTTGTTACTTGAGACACGTGCGTCGCGAGTGAATGATCAACGACGTTTCTGGCAGAAATGGAACAGATTGCAACCCTAGCTGCAGGTGTGCCGATCTCCATAATGTTACCGTTGGTTGTGGTAACCATGTTACCATGGTTACCATGGTTACCATGAACAGTAAAGAAGGAATCTCATCAGTTTCCTCAATGTTAATAAGCCAAAAAAAAAAAAAAAAAAGAAATCGAATGAAATCTAATTAGAGTCCGAGTCAAGTCGGAAGTCTTTTGAGCATAAGTCCAAGTCAAGTCCTGAAGTCTGCGTGTCCAACTCGAGTCCCCATCTCTGACCCAAACACAATAATATATTTTTTAAAATGTGTCCATCTTTCCAAGGCGTAGAATTAAAACCTCTTTTTTTTGCAGAAGTACGCGTAATATTTCGATGTATTTGTACATGATTCACATGCCTGGATACTTTTGGCTGCTGATAAAGTTCACAAAACAAGTTGTGAGTGTAAATGTAATAGAAGTGTTTACAATAGATCTGTAAACCCGCCTTTAAATACACAGACGCAGTCTCACATTGCCAATACTTATCATTTATTATTTCATGTCTTACGCACAATTTAAAAAAAACAAAAAAAAACAAACAAACCTCCAGGCATTACTTTGAAGAAGAAGTAGCGCACAAGCATTGCTCAGGTGTTCTCATGTAACACAGAGACAAAGTGACTGCAGAAAACTGAGCCAGCCTGCAGCAAGGGGCGAAAAGTTCAAGGCAGCATCAGCGGACGTAGTCGGATCATCTGCCTTTTCAATGCTGTGTGTGTGTGCGGGCGTTGTAGATAGATACATCTGCCTTTTCAATGCTGTGTGTGTGCGCGGGCGTTGTAGATAGATATACAGTAGCATGTAAACAATGTCTAAAAGGCCCCGGACCTCCCTTTAGAGCCACTTTCTTTCCGGTCTTATGTTACGGGCAGGATGAAACACCTGTCATTACCCCATTGATTGCTAAACAAAAGACCAGAAGATTGATCTTTGTACATGCATTTTGGACAGGTCAAGATCACTTTATAAACATATATATGTAAGGCTACCGTTTTACCTTTATAAAAGTCTCTTTTTTTTTTGTCTTTATCAACATTGGTAAATTTCAGTTTGTAATTTTGGGTCTGTTGCTGTCCCTTAAAAGAGAGAAAGAAATGTTGAAAATTAAAACGTTGGATGTAATATCATATCAACATAAGTACCCTTGTCTGCAACTGTACTTCTCAGTCAGAGGCGCGCAATAAATAGATCAGGATCTACCAGTAGATCGAAAGGGAGCGGCAGTGCGGGTAGATCATGAGAAAAATAAATAAATAAATAAATAAAAATATAGAAAAAAATTAGAAAAAAATTTCATTCAACCATTGCTTGTTTCATCAGTACCAATGACATAATACATATTTTAATTATTCATATCATTTATTTATATTACCATTATACTTCTGCCTTTTCCCTGCAATACGGACATTTTCCCAATAGATGGCGGTAGAAAATGACAAAAACATTTTAGCATTTTAACCTTTATGCATTTACAACTTTTACATGTCATTTATTACTTAGTTCACACGATCGCTCCATCTATCTGCTCCTGACCCGGCCCCCCCGCCCCCCGTTCAATTTTAGGACCAATTGAGGCCCGCGAGTCAAAAAGTTTCCCTTCGCCTGCGTAAGCCTGGTCATTTGAATAGTTGCTCCCAAGCCAGCCCTGTTCTAGAAAAATGGATACTTTAAAATATTTAGCTTTTTTTTTTTTTTTTAAGACAATAAAGTTGACTGCCCTCTAGTGGCTGTCAGCGTGAAAATAACAAACTGAAATTATATTTTTAAGACAACATCTAAATGAGACGCACCGTAGGTGAGACAGCTACTCTGTTAAAAACAGGACAGGAGTCTCCAACCGCACATCTCTAACAAATACAAATGTAAATTAGAGGCTACTACACTGACACAAACGACTAAATTCCACACTGAATTGAATACAAAAGTGATCAGAGCAAAATGTACAGCTGTCTTAATTGATTATTTTCCCCCTTCTTCTTCAGTCACATATACCCTAAAGGGCTCTCTCTGTACTCTCTGTTCTTGTTTTATATGGTTATTGGTCTAGACAGAAGTGAAACAAACAACTTGAATCCCAGCACAGCTGTGTTCACAGGAGTTGTTTTTTTTTTTTAGTTTGTTTGTCTCTTTGACTTGGAACTGAAGAGGGGAGTTGTCACGGGATTCATTCATTTTTGTAAAAATGGTGGTCATTTCGGTAAAACAGACTAATATTGAATTGCTCCCCTTGTACTGTATATTGTGCAAATACGCGCTCCTCCCCGTGGACGAAAACTGGCATTACAGCTGGTTGTTTGGTGGATTATTTGTTTGAGTTCATTGTTAAAGAACATGAAAGGAAGCCTAAAAATAGAGTTGAAGCAGTCTGAGAACCAGCTGGATTTTAGATTTTTCTTGATCACGGAAAATATGAACCGATTACTAATAAGGACCAGTACACGCACAACACATGTAATTTCTTTTTTTTTCAATCAAAGACGAAGGACATGTCCCAAAGTATTTGTCCGCATACTTGATACTTGAACGGCTGTTATCTAGTCTGATGTTACTTATGCTACGTATTGAATATATATAAAGTTGATCCTCAATTTACCGGACTAAAAGGGAGAAAGTCTTATGTTAAAGCTGTTTATAATTAATTTGAAGCATTTTTTTTGCATTGCCTAAAACATCCAGTGCAGTAAAAAAAAAATATTAATAATAATAATAATAATTTATATTTGTTAATACATGTAAATATAGTATATATGTATTTGTATTTGATTTCTAAGTAACTATAGAGTAGCTTAAAAAAAATAAACACACAAATAGAGAGAGAGAGAGAGAGAAAGGCTGTGTATGTATACGTTTTAAATTTTAGTTTAAATAACGTTGGAGAAGGTTAAAAGTTTTACCTAAATTTACCTTTATACATTGCTGTGATGGTCTAACACTGCTGTGAAAGTGGCCTGATCATATATATATATATATATATACATATATATACACATATATATATATACATACATATATATATATACACACATATATATATATATACATATATATGTGTCAGGCCTGTTTTTTTAGTTTTTAAAGCAAACTAAATATATATATATATATATGCATATATATATGTATATATGTACATATATATGTATATATGTGTATATATATTTATATGTATATGTATGTATGTGTATATATATGCATATATATATATATATATTTAGTTTGCTTTAAAAACTAAAAAATCAGGCCTAACACACAAAAACTGTAAATTTTAATCCTGCGTTATCAATCTCTCTCTCTTTTTTTTTCCTCATCAGGTGAGTGTATACTCCAGAGAGCTGTTATGGTGAGGAAGAAGTTGACTGCCAGGGAAGGGAGAGGTTGGCTTTCTGGTACGCTCTTCTGTACTCACTTCAGAGTGGCCTTTGTGCCACAGGAAAGTATCAAACCTGATGTAAGTAAATGATCTGACGATCACGCTTGAATCTGAATGTATTACAACTGTCCAAAAACGGAAATCTTTTTTTTTTTAGTTTTAGTTTGGTTACAGAATACTGTTACAAGAATGTTTTATTTCTTTCCCGTGGATGTTTTTGTGACACAGGACAATGCAGACCCTGTGCTTTTGGGAGATCATGATGTGGCTTTGGCATCGATAGACAAGGTTGTAGTTGGTAAGTAAATATGTGTCAGGGCTCTTTGACTCTCTGCGCATCTGTCTTTCTCTCCTTTAGTAATCAGTCTTAGTAATCAGTCTTCCACCTTCACCTTGTGTGTTTTGAGACCGCTGCCGTGTCTGTGTTTCTCTGCGTGAGCGTGTGAGAGACTTGTTAACCACCTTTAGTCAATTTTTCTGTTCATGTTTCCTGTCTGTTTAGTCCAGCCCACTCTGTGTGAGTAAATTTTCATGTTCAGTTCTATCTGTTCTGAGATCTGTGTGTCTGTGTTCCTGACTGAAACTGCCTGCTTCAGTCTGGTTGAGCGTCGATAAGAAACTAAGATACTGTTATGCATCAACAACTACATCTCCAAGTGTGATTCACGAGCATCCGATCATTGACTAGTTTTTGACGCAAAAACAGAATTTGATTTGATGGACAACAATATTAACTTAAGCATAAAAATACCATATTTTAAAATGTAGGGACGAGCGACCATTCATACATTAGGTTTTCTGAACAATTCATTCCCAATAGCAGTGATGGTTAAAAGTGTTACTGTGCATTAGCAGTATTTTTAAAACTGATTACTACTGTGTAAAGTAGTAGTAATTTCTTATATATTAACAATAAAAGAACAGGAAAGTATTTCGATTAAAATGATTAAATTTTATTAAATTATTAATTATTAAATTATTACTTGCCATTTTTTATATGTATATATATATATATATGTATATATGTACATATATGTATATATATGTATATATGTACATATATGTATATATGTGTATATATATATTTATATGTATATGTATGTATGTGTATATATATGCATATATGTATATGCATATATATATATATATTTAGTTTATATAGTTTATATTTCTTATATATTAACAATAAAAGAACAGGAAAGTATTTCGATTAAAATGATTAAATTTTATTAAATTATTAATTAGTAAATTATCACTTGCCATTTTCTGTGTTCATGTAATGATGAAGATTAGTTCCTGGTTTTACTCCTTATCAGTGGTCGCCAAAGCATAAATAAAGGGCAGTAATATACTGTACATGTGTCACTTGTGTGGTATTTTTTACTTAAATGAATTAAAGCCCGTCTTTCTCTTTTGGCAGTGGGACCTAACAGGACCAAGCTTATGACCCCAAACTCCTCACTTAAATTCACACCCGAGGAGCTGGTGCTTTACTGTCGGGACATGCAGGTCATCTGCTTCCTGTTTGACCGCCTCACTCCTGATGCACAGGTCATAGAGGTAGGTTTTGTATACTAAAATGAAATGAAATTTCAAAAATTCAATGCAATAACAAATGCAACAGAACAAGTCGCACTAGCCAAAAATGCATAATGAAGAAGGAAAAAAAAACATATATGTCACACCAACCAGCTAGAGTGCCCTCTAGTGGCTGTCAGTGTGAAAATAACAAACATGTACATTTTCAGTGGTAAAGGCGTAGCAGATACTGATATATACCGAGTAATGTCACATGTTTTTCAGGATATATTCTCACAAGTGTGTTTCTTTGTACATTGTACATACATACATATATTGTTAGTTTATATTCATTTCCCTTGTGAATATCACCTTTATCATATTCTTGCCATTTTGCACCGTGGTTCCGAGAGGGCTGCAATTTCATTGTGCCATATTCGACAATAAAGTTGATTGCCCTCTAGTGGCTGTCAGCGTGAAAATAACAAACTGAAATTATATATTTTAATATATAAGTCGCACCTACAGTATGTATCAGTTGCTAACCCAGCCAAAGGATTAAAAAAAAAAGTGTGACTTATATTCCGGAAAATACGGTAATACGAAATGAATTCTGAATCATACCAGAAGGCAAAATCTGAGGTGCTTAGTGCTTTAATTTGCAATCATGATCAGAAAAAACATCATATAATTATAATTACAATGAAATAAATTGCAATGAATTATAAATATAATTATTATATATTTACCGTTTTTGATGCGGTTTTTACCAGAACCTCCAGCAAAGACTGCAAAGGTGGTTCTGGTTACAGAAAAAGATTGTAAAAAGTTGTATTTAGACATGTTATTTCCAGGTTGTAAAGGTCATTGTTTTTTTCTGTTTTTTTTTTTGTTTTTTTGTTTGTTTTTTATACATATGTAATCAAAGCAATGTGGAAAGCTGATGATCTTTGTTAAGGTTGTTGTTTTCGTTTCACAGATGACTTACACCATTGTAAAGACCTACCAACCACTTAAACCAGGGTCAGTTTTATCTTTCCAGAATGCTGCTCTTGGGAGTATAGGTGGGTCCGTCAATGTACTCACTTATTTGTGTACTACCATTTTTTTCCAGCGACGAGATCAGATTTTTTTTTTTTTTTTGCTGATCTAGCAGACAATACTAGACATACAAAGGAATTGAAATGACAATTCTCACGGCCCCGTGCGCAGACAAAACTCATATGCAATTATTTGAAGTTCCAAAAATGACAATCACTGTTGGCATTGCCTTAAAAGGTCAGCTGTTTTAATTTTTTCTTCATATACTTTAACATCCGCTGCATTTGTTGAAGAAGATAGCAAATGGGGGAAAAAAAAAATTAAGTTTAAAATCACTCTCTCTGCCTAGAAATATTTAATCTCTGACTTTGGAAACATTTCCAAAAACACCCTCAAGCAGTGAAGTAAAGGGGAACCGGAACGTCATGGTTTCTTGAAGACGTTTCGCCTCTCATCCAACTTCTAATTGAGTCCAGTTTGCCCTTTACTGAACTGCCATAGGCATCTTCCAAAAGACTCGAAGTTAATATTAAAGGCCACAGTGTTGCATCATTTTTATCTATAAAGAACAAATAGAGGCAACGGGAATTAAGATAAAATGAGTTGATTGAAATTCAAAAAATGCAAAATCACTTTCTGCTCTAAAAATCTTTTAGTCTGGAAATTAGTTATGGCTGTTATGTCTTATATATTCAGAATGTTGAAAGGTAACTGTAAATTCTAATTCTATAATTTGGCTAGTGGTCTAAAACAACAACAACAACAAAAAAATCTCCTACGATAAGCTTTTTTTATTCATAACAGATGAATCTTCACTGCTTTTTTTTGGTGCATTTAGTGAAGCAGTTGGCACGCCTGCCTCACAGGCAGAGATTTCCTGGGTTCGATTCCCAGTGGTACTACGTATTTGGTCGCCTCCAGGGGGCAGCCTGTTGCAGCAGATCTGAATTTCGACAACTTGAAAACAACATCAGGGGGCAGCCTGTTGCAGCAGATCTGAATTTCGACAACTTAAAAACGTTATTTCAAACGTTGTCTGCAATGAAGATTTTTTAATGTAAAACAAATAAAGGTGTGTTACCGTCTTTGTCCAGAGATGAAGCAGTTCTTAAGCAACCGTCGGCGAGACACGAAGATGAATTGGTTTGAGACGACCTCCGACTGGGAACAAGAACTTGCCAGGTGTGCGGCCACTGGCTGGAGGGTCAGCTCAGTCAACGACCGCTTTGAGATGTCCACCAGGTAAATCCACGCTGAACACGCCGGCGCATCTTAAGGAAATGAATAAGACATTTAAAGCAGTTCTCTTGAGGGTTGACAACAGCCAATCATCTGCTTCCATTTCCCTGTCCCTATTCTTTCTGTGTCACATATCTCCTCTCAGGTCTTTTCCTCTTTGACAAATTGTGGCAGATTTTTTTTGAAAGAGAATCAATTTAGAACCTAGTGCAAGACGAAATATCACAATATTTCGTAGTTTCGATATTTTGGCCACTCCCCCAAAAAACAGACTCTTAATAGATTTTTTTTGGTTACTGTCAAATAGTTACTGAAATACTGAAAATATCAGGCAAAAAAAAAAAAAAAAAAGAGTTTTCCTCTGGTGTTGTCGTTGCTGAATTCTGTGTATTCTCTAAGTCTGCCTAGGTTCGTTGTGGTACCACAGAAAGTTTTGGACACGGAGTTGAAAAAAAGCTTTGCCCACTTCAACGATGGACGCATCCCTGTAAGTGACGTGCCACTCAAAAATGAAAATGAAATGAGGTTCAGTATAGTTAGCGAATAAATACACTGCAATTGCATAGCAAAATATTAAATGTACAAGAAATACCTTGTTTTGACACAGCCGGAATAGAAATTTTTGATCTTTAAAAAGGTCAATGCCATTATCCAGCGTTGGTTGTAATTTGTAATGATTATTTTATCTCAAGGTTTCTCTCATCTCATTAGCATTTCAGTGGCATTTAGAACTTGTTATCTCAAGAGTATTCCGTTATCTGGTATCACAGCGCTGGTGTTGGCAGCACCCACAAGGCAGCGTCCTACTGAGAATGGCCAGTTTCCAGAACAACATTTACCACGAGAAAGATGACATCAGGTAGGTTTTTTTTTTTTAAATGTTCAAGAGACTGTAATTGGTCTTTTTTTTTTGTGCCAATAACCACATGCTGGTATCCCTAACAATTTCATTAACCCCATGCAAAATATGTCTCGTCTGAAATTAACCCTTTGATGCATGACCCATGATATACTGAGTTAAAAACATGTTACTAAGTGTCTTTATGTGTTTTTAGACATAAAAATAAGAACCGATTTGGTTCTGTTTTTATACACGAACATTTTCTTTTTGAATGTTAACACAATTATTCTGCAGTTGCAAAGGCTGACCACTGTATGGCAGTGTTGGGTGATTCTCAGGCGTCCACTGTAGAGGCTTATATGGCAACACTGCCATCAAAACCTATTCTTATCATAGAAAATGACATTTTAATAGCTGTCCACCGTAGTGACCGTCATGCATGAAAGGGTTAAGGATGTCTCAGACAACTTGCGCATGCGTTGTTTACAGTTTCGGGGAACCTTGATGGCCGCCTTTTTTACGTAAAATAGTCATACGCCATTTACTACGTTTCCGCTGTTAAAAGCCAAGACTTTTCACAAAAACTCATGGAAAACAAAATGATTTATTTCTCTGTGTTTTTATGGTTATCAAAAGGCCTGTACGTAGAGAGAGAGAGTTCTCTCTAGAGCTCATTGGAACGTCCTTTTGGTGGCACCCGGTCTCACCCATGTGTCAAAGTCGTTCAAAATTGTTTGTCACTAGAGTGATTATAATAATGATAAATTAAATAATAGGCAACGACATCTCTGATTTAGCCTGAGGCTATGTTAAAGTATAAATGACTGCCTTGGTCCTTTATAGTCGTACCTCTTCAACTTATGTTATTTAAGTTATATACGTTTGAAAACATTTGGTTCCTTGTTTTGATCATGTGAAGGCAGAGAAGAAACACTCCATTACAGAGCTTTGGGTTGTGAGATCAGCATGTTTTTGAGTGCCGGTATTTGAATGAGGTCCGGTATAGAGCACAATACAGATACTAGTATAAGTATTGGTGCATCCCGAATACAAACACATGCCCGGAGAAGCCAGATAGTTTGGTAGGGAGGTTAAAAAAAAAGAAGGTATGTCACCCTGAAGAAACCATCACTTAACAGAGGAGGTAGCTCAAGATACCGACACCTATGCTTCAAGTTTTTTGACGAATATGATTGGACATGTTACAGTTGCTGGGCCTGGAGTTAGTGTTAGTGTTTGGGATCACATCGAGTTGAAGCTAGCCGTCAATGTCCGGAGTAACGACATGTACTCATCTATAGGAACCTGGAGATGATCTTGTTCGGTTGCCATTCTTCTCTGTGTGTGGTGGTGGAGCTGGATGAGGAGCTGCCGTCTCCCCCCG